TTGCAGCATCGGACTCTCCTTTCACCACCAGCTACATCAGCAACTGAATGTCCTTTTGGCTTTGACCCAGTTGCTTCATTCTTTCTGGCGCTACTAGTACTAGCCCTCTGCTCTTCCCCAGTAGCATATTGGACACCTTCCGACCTGAGGGGCTCATCTTCCGGCGTCATATCTTTTTGCCTTTTGGTACTGTCCATGGGGTTTTCATGGCAAAGATACTGGAATGGGTTGCCATTTCCTTCTCCAGTGGTCATTACTCCCTAGCTATAGAATGCTCAGCTTCAGTTCAAAAACTGTATCATGTGTGATTATAGATTATTATTCGATGATGATGAAGATGATGATGATGATAATCATTTTCATTTCTATACTGCCCCACAGCTGAAGCTTTTTGTTGGTTTCACTGATTCCCCAACAACATCCCCTTCCTGCAGACATCGTTCTGGAATTCTTACACTGGGAGAAAAGGGTTTGCCTTGATGCCAAAGGCTGTCTTGTCTTGTCTTGTCTTGTCTTGTCTTGTCTTGTCTTGTCTTGCTTTCCCCTTTCCTTTTCTCCATAATGCATGGTTTCGATTTTATATTGTTACACTTAATAAAAAAGAAATACACAAAACAAAAAGCAACTCTACTGTGGGCAAAGAAGACGCCCGTTTTATGTTGTACCTTTCTGCAGGAAGCCCGTCGGGAAATGTTTTCCCAGGCTGAGTTGGTATGCAGTCTTCCTTCAAGCTGATCAAGCCATTGCAAGTCATGTCATGGCTTGGCCTGCTGCTCCCTCTAGTGTCTCTGGATGAAACTGAATGCCATCCCATCTTTTCCAGCCATGCATCACTTTCATCAGGCCTTTTCCTGCTCTGGAGAAGCCTGAAGAGGGCAGCAGAACCAAAGCAATGTGAGAAGCAGCAGCAAGCCCTTCCAGTTTTTACCTGCGAATAAAGCTGGGGATCCGGAAGGCACCTGTTCACCAGCAGAGGTCAGATGGCCACTTACTGCCCGCAATGGCAACAGGAAGGAATCAGCTGCAGTCTGTAGCTAAGGCAGAAGGAGCAGAGCTGGCACTTTGCCGAAGTCTGCCTTTCAGTGGCTTCCATCATTTTGTCTCTTGCTGGAACTGTTTCATAGTTTGCTTTTGTGTTGCAAAGGGGCTGTGTTTGTTCAATTATACACCTCTCCATGGCTGTGCAGCATCCCTGACTGCCTGCACTTCCAGATCTGAAAAAGCCCAAGGGGAGGAATCACTTCACGTTGTCTTCTTCTGGGCTTTCATGGATGTGTGGGAAGCCCTGGAGGCTGCAGAATGGAAGAAACTTGATTGCACAAGGAAAGGCAGGGAACTCACTGAAATTTTACTGCAAGTATCCTACAGAATCCATCAGGATTAATGGGTGACAAACCAACCAACCAACTCCTTGGTCACCTCATTGGGAAGATAAACATCACAGGAATTAATCACTCAAAACCCATTCATGAACATTTCCCTGAACTTGTCTTCATCATTGAACTTCATTTTGAAAGCAAATGCTGTTCAGTCAAATGGAAAGGCAATGGCAGAAAAGGGTGGAAGGCGTCTTTGGCACAGCTTCAGCACTGAAGCAGAGAATGGACTGCAGCTCCTCTCAGGCCAAAGAGCATGGCAATAGTCACCGATGGTGCATGTCCAAGCCCAAAAATTTGTGGAGGACACAAGGATGGAGAAGGCCTCGAAGATCTTTAAGTTTCCTGCCAGTTCTGTGATTCGGAGCACGGAAAAGACACAGGAAGTGCACTCTGGATTTGGTGTGACCATCCTCTGTAACATAAACTTTCACTCTGTGAAGTCATCACCACAGAGTAGATCAGAGGCAAGAAAATGACTAGAAACCCAACAGCCACAGGAAAGATTCTCAGCTGAATGTGAATCAACCATGATTCCTCTTTTGCGAAAACAAAACTCTGCAGAAAGGATGCTCAGTTTTCAGATGCCACTAGAGAGACTTGATTTTGCTGGCATGGGGTTTTTGTCTCACTTCCCTGTCTGTCCTGTGCCACACCTGGCAGTAATAGTTGGCCTCGGCCTCTGCTTGGGCCCCCGTGATGGTGAGTGTGGCTGTGTTGCCAGGATTGGTGCTGGAGAATCAGTCAGGGATGCCGGCTGGCCTGCTGTCATCAGCATATATAATGAGTACAGGCGCCTGGTCTGGTTTCTGCTGGTACCACTGCACGCTGTGGTCCTCAATGCTGTTCCCCGAACAAGAGATTTGGGCTTTTTGTTCCAAAGGGACAGACACAAATGGAGGCTGGGTCAGCACATACGTACCAGTAGCTCCTGCAAACGAAGAGAAAATAATTTCTTAGAATCAATTGCAGTTCTAGTTAATGAAATAATTAGAAGGTCCAATTCCCTTTGGGGCACACCCCAGTGCAATAAGTGAGGAGCATGAGAAAGAGAGGGACCCAGAGCATGGTGGGAATCCAGATGTGTTCTCCTTCTAAGACACAGACGTTTCTGGTTCCAACCTCTGCTTGTCTCTTAAAGCACAACAATTTGGTGGTCCAGCCCCGTATGCAAACTGGCTCCTCTCAAAAGGGATGGCTTCTTCCTTGTTTCTCTACCCGTTGTTGTCATGAATGCAATGGGGAGGTTTCTTTCTTCCTGGTAGAGCAAGCAACCATGTCAAAGGAAGCTGCCCTCCTTCTGGTGCATGGGGCCAGGTACCTTCTCATCTCCTGCCTGGTGGCTGTGATCCTAGTGGGAGCTCACTCATCTCCACTGCAAAGCATAATCTTGCCCAGGTCTGGGTGGGATATGGAGGGTTTGCGGTCCATTGAAGACTGAGAGGCAAAGCCACGGCATGTGATTTGGAAGGCTATGGCTGACAGCCCACTCACATCTGGCCACGTTTCAGAAGGTTCATGTGTGTGTGTGAAAATATTGGTAGCATTTTGGTGGTGGGGAGAGCAGACTGAGTCTGGCAAGAGATGGCAGTTAGGGCAACTGATGGTAAAGAGTCCCTTTTAATGCATGATTTCGCCTGGGCTGGTTGGGGAAGGAAGAGTATTTTGCTGCCATCTTTGATTGCAATACCCACAGGAGAGGAGCTTTTCTAGATAGCTTGGAGCTGCCATTCTCCCCACCTTCAGAACTCCTCTGAAATGAGTGGCATAGCTGCAGTGCGGATTGTGAGAACAATTCGGGGTTTTCTCGATCTCTCCCTCTCCCTCTCCCCTCCCTCCCTCCCTTCCTCTTTTCACATCCATTGTTTCAGAATGAAGCATGGCACAGAAAAAAGCACCAGAAGGTAGAAAAAGGGTGGAGAATGTCCAACTTGCAGAGTGTTTTTGTGAGATGACCTCGGATTCCACAGGCAGATGGTGCTGCAGCAGCAGGGGAAAAGTTCAAGGCTATGCGAGTCAAAATACCTCCCAGACCAGCATGCTATAACTTCAAGCTCTTCCAGGAAAGCCACTTCTCTTAGAATGGGGAAGGGAACTGGAAGAGAGCTGGAGAACTGCACCCAATCCCAGCAGTGCTGGAGTAACTCCATGTAACACCAGAGATGGATTCAAACAGCCTCTGGTGGTCCACAAGTTCCTCACTCCTGGGAGGAGGCAGCTTCTGCAATTCTTTGCTGATGGGCATTTCTTTCTGGTTTTCTGAGGCTGCTGCTCCGTTGGAGCTGGAGGTGCGGCAAACGTCCACTTTGTGCATACTTTGGACGAAGAGTCATCTTCAGATGTGAGAGATCTATATACTATATGCAAAGGTCTTTGAGAGCATGTGGCTGTGAAAAGGAAAGGGGTTTTTGTCTCACTTCTCTATGAGAAAGCATCACTGTGGAAAGCACTGCTGTGCCAGACAGCACAGTAATAATCAGCCTCGTCTTCTGCCAGGACTCCCGAGATGGTCAAGTACCCAGTGTTCTTGGAGTTGTCCTTGGAGCCAGAGAACCAAGCAGGGACCCCCGAGCCTTGGTGCTTGTTGGAGTCTGAGTAATACCACAAGAGGTAACGTGGGGCACTGCCAGGCTTCTGCTGGTACCAAGCTACATACTTGTCACTGATGCTGGAAACGCTGCTCATGGCACAGGAGATTCTCACTGTGCTCCCTGGTGCTGCTGCGAGGGACGCCGGTTGGGTCAGCACAGCCTCTGCGTTTGCACCTGGAAAGAAATATGGAAGACACTGTCATGCTCCACTCACCACGTAGATCCCTCTGGCAGTCCTTTTACCTTGTGCATGGTGAGCTCTCACCTGCGCACAA